CCTTGATGCTGATGCCGAGCTTAAGAAGCCATTGCCGTCGTTATATTCTGAGTTCGTATCTAGCGACTTTACGACTATTCTAACTGCCGTTTGTGCACGAGGTGTGGACAGGGTGTCAGATCGGGTGATGTAGAGTCCCTTCTTCGACGCCTGTGATTCATCTGCTCCCATGAGAAATGTTGAAGTGTTTGGTTTTGTACAACAATTTGAATTTTTCATCATTTTGGCTAAAAAATAATTTAAGTTTGGCATTTTTGATTGCCAGCTGCAGCAGCGAGACACATTATGATGGAGCGGCTCAAAAGCCGGCTACAATAATGATAGCAGTTGCCCTGCACAAACGTGTTCAAATAATTGATATACGTCAACAATAATATACGATGGCAGTTGTTGTGAGGCCTGAAAATAGACTGCAAAACCCTCTTAGCCTTCACTACGTGGCAGCGAATGTGGAAGTAACTGTCGCTTGCCAACACTGCTCACAGCAATAGTAATACCTTAGGAGGTCATTTTTGACGATTTTTCCCTTCGGAAGTTAGCTTTTTTTTCAACTAAATGTGTAGATGTTTTATCTGTTTTATTTTAGTTATGGGTTTTTTCGCCTGCTCTGATAAAAGTTCAACTTCTCCAAAGGTTTGAACCTTTTACTCATTTTTTGATTTCCTATAATTGGACGAACTACTTATTATTCATTGTATTTCGCATCGATTACAAGAAATGGACAATCATTAGGGTTAGATACGCAGGGCTCGCTAAAATCCTATCTTCCTATTCTTCTTCGTTTATTAGCACGCACTAATACGTAAAATGTTTAGGGTACCTATGAACAAAAATCACTTTCAGGCAGATCTTATATAGTTAATCGCAGTTTTTGTATATGATCAGACTCAATCATACGGTCCACTTTTCCTTAACAAAGGGCCCTGTTTGTATTGAGTAAAGTGGTTTTATAAAAACTTGTTGAGTAAATGTATGTGATCGGAGAACACATCGAACTAATGCATGGGCCACGTGGGGTGTTGCATCGAAATAAGCACAGTAATAGACCAGGAATAATTAAAGGGTATCTAGGACTCAACTTTAAGTATGACAGGCGGTAATTTCGGTAAGTCATTAGATCGTAGTGTAAATACAGCTCATGGCCAACTCTCTCGTCAGGCTAATCGTTGCCTCTTCCAAGCCTGTTTTCGTCCTGTCAGCTTTTCTCTTGATTTAATCTCCTCGAAGAAGCGTTTCATCTATATCGCTATGGCTGCAAGATTCTGTGAACGCATGTACGTACTGTAGTCTATCACAAATGCATCGCCTCAGACATTGAAGGAGTAATAGTTATAACTGACATATGCCACTGATGTAAATGGCTGCAATCAATCTATAACAGTACACCGATACGTTAATAGATAGATGATAGAAAAATTGCGTTATTTTAATTAACAAAAAAAGTAGCTTACATAGTGTCTCTATAAACTGTCGAATCGGGGGCCAATAACCAAAATAACAAAATTTTGATTGAAAGAAAGACTTAAGCGAAATAGTACGTGCAAAACACTGTCAGTCTCACACGGAATCATTATCTTAAAGGTTAACATAAGATTTAGTATCAAATTACTCACATGCCCCTTAATTCACTCAATAATAACCTCGTCAATTTTCGTGAATTCAGAAAAGTGCCCCGCCATATTGAAAATAGTATAGTCTAGCTTGCAGTTCTACTCTAAATATAATACCCGTGAAAACCCTTTATACTTGCTAAGATTCGGAATCTATGATATTATATTATATATACGATTAGGTAAACTAATACCATACTAAAGAATTCTCTAAATTGTACTCTTGAACGTATGACGTTTCTTTATGCGACGAAAAAATTAACAAATGACTTCAAAAAACATCCAGATGTGAGCGGTAACGCACCATAGAGACACCCCGAGTTCGACAATATTAGAACAATTTACCTGAGTAAAACTGTTATTAACGGAAGAGCTGTTCGAGAACAACCTAACGAACGAACAGCACACGGATTTTTTCGCACAGGAAAAACTTTTAAGCGGCAATACGCTGTAAAGGTCTATTGTCTATTGTTGGAAGTGTTAGAACCGAATATATTACTGGAAGTGCGCATCATTTTGAAAACAAAGTTAAAATCTGCCTAAGTCGTCTGGTCAGACTGAACGTAATTATATTGAATGCCAATATACGAACGCTTTACTGGCTAAAGACATATGCTTTAAGATGCACAACGTTTCTCTTAAAAAAAAAAAAAAAAAAAAACTATTGAGGTGTGCTGTTAATTATTTGAATTATCTTTGGACGGATACATTTTTGGTTATCTATCAATGTTTAGCCGAACTTAACATGCCATTTCGACATAAAATGGCGCCATTGTTTGACCATTCTGGTAACTGTCACTCGTTTAGGAACCACCTAGTGTTATATACGCGTAGTATATTTTATGGGCGGTATGATATTTGAACTTTCCTTTTACGGAAATCGAAGAAAATTCGGTTAAATTAAAATTCGTAAAAATGTTCGTTTTTGTTTTCCAGCTTTTTTAGAGCGCAACAGTTCGGATTAGTACAAATCAGTCCTTTTCCTATGATTGATAAGTATTATTCAAAGGTGAGCCATATTGAATACACGGACTTATGTGAAGACCCAATAATAAACTCGAGTGGATAAACATTTAATGATAGCATGAAGGCTAAGCTAATAGTACAAACACTTAGTACAGCAGTACGACACAGTCTTTCCGAAGTAGGCATTAGAATTAAACTACACCATAGAGAGATACTACCTACTCTCAAAGAACACCTCTTTAGAAGTTCTTACTTATTAGATACACAAAATCCCATGTGAGAGTGCCTTTTAAAGGTTGAATTCGGGAGGAAAGTTCAAAAGGATTATTCTAATTACGACATATTAGATGTAACACTTTATAGTCACATAAGTACGCTGGTCAGTACGCCTAATTTAGAAACAGATCCACCGCATCAAGGAGATGAGACTCGCATATGAGGTACTGATTAATGGTTCTCAGCGCGCTAGAGCGATACACACCTAAGCACGTTTTAATCACACCCGGGTAAAATTTGTGTCTGTAACTTGATTGGGTCACAGCACTAAAGGTACAACATCAAGGTCTCCATTGGACATTTTAAGCTTTGTGCGGCCTGCGGCGGCTTTGCTGCAAAAACCGGAAATAAGATTAGACCTGGATAATCTCTCCGATTAAATGATTCTCCGATCGAGAAAGAGATTATATTCAGCGACATCATCGTCATTATCGTCGTCATAATAAATCGAAATGGGCCTTTTTTTGAGACAAAGGTAAGGTGTAGCGTTTTTTGCTTGTATTTGTAACAGACAAACAATATCGATCTCCTCAGTACCGAAAGAATATGTGACAGCCTCAAAACACCAAAACTGAAAAACTAGTAGTCCTTCCTTGTATACAAATGACGTTTCGGGATGCGACGAATAGTTGTAGGATAATCCCAGTCATAGCAAAACCGTATAGTTGAAGCAGTATATGCTAAACGTAACTTGCAATAAAAAGAACTTGTTAGACTGAAACAAAATAGTTGTAAGTTTGCAAAAGCCACCGAATCAAATTATTTTTATTCTTATTTCGGGGGGGGGGGGGGGGGGAATGTGTCTGATGATGGCTAAAGTTTTGGTAAACCAAATGACAATCCATTTCCAGTTTCCTGCTTTGAGTATTGTGGCCTTTAAATTCTCGCTGTTGAAGTTGTTTTTATAAAATAGTATGTCAAGTTGAATAAAAACATGTACTCGTTAATACTACAGTATGGATAATTTCACTTGCTTATAATTTATGCATTAGTACCTGCACGCAACACAGATAAATATACATAAACAAAAAAATTAAGAACAGTGGGCTTTACGATGGCTTTCATTGCCGATATCAAAAAATATATGACAAACATAATTTGAATCGCCTATTTCTGGTATACTTATAAAATCATTCAGCTTGCACAGCTTGTTTGTCTGAAACACTCACTTGGGTAATACATGCTACACAATGACTAAATAAACATCTAGACAAAAATAAAAGTATATATATCATCTAATTAAATATACTGCTCCTTATTCGACCGGCATCCTACTTAAAGCCTGTTTGATTTAAATGAAGTGTACACTTAGCTGTAGACATTTGTAGAAAAAAAATATATATATACACTTATTTACTCTTGGTTGCCCAGATAAAAAAAATAACGACGTCAAAATGTTAGAAATAACACGTACTTTAAAATTCAACTTTCTTTACCAACCAACACTCATAGGAAAGATCACTTTTTTTTTTGGCCCACTAAGCAAACAGAAATGTAAGCTTTCTTCGCCTGTTTTTGGGTCTTTGATTTGCCACAAGCCTAGGCTTATATTGCCGGGGTTAGCATCGTTCTCGCCGATGTTTAAAAGTGCTATAAATGCGCTTTAATACCTAGTTTATAACTCTCACTCGAAATCATTATTTCTTATGAGACGTTCCTATAACAACCGGTTGGATGTGTCAATATCAGAGATCAGGTTCCTTTCAAAAAGCTGGTGTGATATGTGAGAGTTACTCGATCAGGTATGTGCGTTGTTAAGGCCCTTATTATTGAGACGCTGTGATTCGACTCATTTAGCAGGTTATTCATACTCTCTCCCCATTGTTTCATATCAATTACGTCTATGCTCGCCGCTGACTCTCACGCTTCTCTCATGTAATCTACAAAGCACAACTACTTAATTCAGATGAAATTAACCGCCAAGTTAGAATTATGTTGGATCCGCTACTTTCCTAGAGTAGCTTGGTAGGCCATTGCAAACTTATATTGAAAACGCGTCAATCCCTCGTAGCCTCACAAGCCGAGCTACGCGATATTGCATGATAGCATGCAATCTCAAAACGTTACAAGAGTTGTGCCAACTGTAAGGTCCGCTGTACCCTATTCGAAGTGCATCAGCCTCGGGGCCCTCGCCGTGGGCCCTCCCTCTCCAGGCTGAAGCCACAGCGAAGAGACCTCAGCCTCGCAAACTGAGGCCCTCAGCCGACGACAGTGCCAGTGAGAGCAGTGGCCGATTCGAACGAGTCTGCGACACGGCGCAGTACAACGGTCAACACTAGCCACCCAATAAGCTGCGATTCTCGGGCAAGATAAGCTCTCAGTCTCAAAACAGCTGTACCATTATTGCTGGTCTAGATGTATCAGCACAAAATCGTTTCAAAAAGCTTCTTTTAAATTAGCCTTCAAGTTTAGTTCCACTAAATTGCTGCTTATTTGAAGGCGCAAAAACCTTTCGTTTGTGCCTACCGAATCCATTTTTACACAATACACAAATAATACACAAGGATAATCGTCGGATCTAATAGTGGTATGAGGTACTTTGAAGGTTTGACAATATGAAGATTGTAAACTGATCGTTCAACTTCGTACCTTGGATATTCTGAAGACATTATTCTTGAAGGACAACACCAACTCAACAGCACTCAGGTTAGGCTCTGTTATCTTTAATCGATTCACACCTTATTGTTACCGCCTAACTAAATAGATATATATTATGCTAAGTATAGCTAAGCACAAGCCGCTTTCCTAGTCCAATTACGAAGCCATTTGGCTCCTTAGTGCATTCCGCAACAGTATTACTCATGTGTACAGAGCTTGCTATTGTTCGCATACATGTACATGATACGATAATGTATTGCTCCTTTACGTTGTAGGCCTGGTACTATTATTACAACTTCTCCATTTTTATGGCTAAAAACAATACCGTTCCTTTATGGGGTATAGGTAGAGTCTAGATTACTGTTGAACATTTTATCAAGACATTCTTTACTATAAAAGGACAAAAGACTATTTTTCCTTCAATCGCTTGGATACGGATGCCTTGATGTATTTCTATTACATCTGTTATATTATATTATTGTTATGAGACACCATAGGATGCTGCATTACTCATACTAGTAGTATTAATATCAGCGACGGTTTTGTCCCGTCCGACCGGAAAGTAGGTCTTAAGGGATATGGTTAGTGAACTAATACATACCCAACCTAACTCATCTACCTAATAATAATAATAATATCTTACTACAGCCCCAAGAGGACAACCTGAATTCTTAAGTATGCACACCTGCGCGGACGTACTGAATAATCGTCACTAAGCTAATATTTAACAAAGAAAACTTCGGAGCCTATAAAATCTCCAAACGGGGAATGGTACAACATGCCAGGTTCGTTTATGTAGAAGATTTTGAATCTCTGAGACCTTCGCTTGCTTGAGCAAGTTAAATAGCAAATGTCTAACAGGGAGTGTTCAACTACGACACACCTAAATGATGGAGACCCTATCCAAAATATTTACCCTGTGACGTCATTCAAAGCAGGGAGCATTGTGGCATGTGACGCTAACAATGAAAATGGGGACACGAGGTCGTTAGGAAATAATCTCGCCCTTTTTGAGGCGACCCATTGAAGAGCAAATGGGGAAAGGGGAGAGGAGGAAGAGTGGGCGAAAGGGGGAGCTTCTTTGGCTCGTTCCCCTTTCTCAAAGTTAGCTTCTCTAAGGAGTCATGGCTAGCTGCTAACTTTGCCGGAGCTGTGGAACCGCTGCGTGCTTTTCCTGGGCTTATATCTCGGTTCCTACAGGCAGCGAGCCTGGCAAGGCCCCTGTCTTGGCGCAGCGCTCCTATAGCAGTACGACACGTACCTTGTTGCTTTCTTACTTTTTTTCAATTAATTAGAAATTCGATCAGAAGAAAAGATTTGTTGGTGCAAATTAATGTATATTTCCCTTACCCTTTTATCGATTTTTTGTGGCAAGAAGAAACGATATGTCATTGAAAGACGGAGTAGTGTTATACAATAAGATCCATATTTTCGAATAACATGCATCTACAGCTATTACCAATTCGGTATATAAATACGCGCTGTCGTACTTATTCATCTGTTATTTTTGGAATATACTGTGTATATCAATACGTTGAGTTGGGGCTGGGATAAAATATGCGTTATATGAAATGGAATGCTTCACTCTAACTAAAGCGTATTGCAGTAGACATGAGACTGTACTTCAACACCAGATAAATAATATGCAATAACAATGGATACTGGGTATAACGAATTCATTAACTAAATAGCCGTTCATTAGATGATGATGTCATCGGGTTCTCTCAGTAAAAGAGGGTTAGCTTCTTTCGGAAGCCTTGTTCAACTAAATTCAGTTTTGCTGAATCCCCCTGTAAAACTTTGCATAATCGAAACGCTTCATGTAGTCTATTGTAATCTATTACGATGGACTAGAAGAAGCTTCCCCATTAAACCACAATATCGTGAAAATTGGTGCTTAAGATGAGCGAAGGTTTTGCTTACAAAAAAAATACTAGGTACTGAGTTCATATACCTAGTATGTCGCATACCATATTTTTTGAGGTTCACTGAGACCTGCGTGAAGCTCTCGCAGAATGATATATTAATGCTTTTTCGGCTAACGTAATCCTTTTAGATAGAATGCAAAAATTATGTTGATGGCTCACTGGAAAAGTTATAAATTATTTTCACCAATATTATAATTCTACCGTAGTATAATGAGTGAGGAACACGTGATTGCTTACGTGACTAGTAGGTTTACACCGTGCGGCAACACCAAAAAAGCAAACTTGGTTTCCCTTTATTATTGTTATTGTATTTGGTATTATCTAAATCAATTGAAAGGCACTGGCGTCAATCGTTAACGAAGTCCCGTGATATCAAAGTACGCCGAGTGAGCAATGGCTGGTGAAGCAAACACAAAAAGAGCGACAGCTGGTGGTTGTATTTTTAGTTCAACCAAAGGTGATGATTTCACGCGTGCTTCACAGTACGCTGGCACTGCATCGGAATTACTCATGCTATTGGGTAGTGAGTGCCCTTTTCGATAGCTATCATGCATCGTCTCTGTTTCGTTTGTTTAGGCCCTCCTTTTACTGCATTTCTCTGTCTGCGCGTGTGTGTATGTGTGTGTGTGTGCATGTGTACGAGTACATATGCATTAGTTGCGATGACTAGCTTACACAAGTTTCTACTACTGCTCTGCGATCGATTTTTCCTTCTTTTTTATCTATGAGTTTGGCTAAACCGCACGATGATGATAGCGAGGCTCCGTGCACTATGAAGTGAATACTATAGTAGATTTTTTAAACACCAATGATCATGTCCCCTGTAGCAGGGTTTCTCCGAGCTTGTTTCAATCTTGGCCGTCCTCATTCTAGGCCGATCACCTTGACCTCCTCAATCCTTCGGCAAAAGGGAAACAAAGAGAGGAATGCAGAGCGGGCACGAATACCAAGGATAGAAAATCGCGGCTTTTCACAGTTGAGCTAACGATATTACACTTCTTGCTCTCTGCTTTTTAAATTGTTTCTTAATAAGAGCCATACTGTAAATACAATCAATTGCGTATAAGTTGGATTTATATATATGTAGATAAAAGTTAAACTCATCCCTCATCGATTCCAAATCAAAATAAGTTCTCGTGTGTCAAGTCAGACCTTGGACTCTTGATCAAAGCGCGCAGCAACGTATCTTAAACTTTCCAAATGATAATAATGCAGTGTCTATAAACAATCCTTAATATAGACGTGTCTTCTTTAAGTTTAGATTAATCTATAGGTTTTTAACCTATAGTAATCTATAGGTTTAAGAGATTAACGCTTCGTTGATTTGTCGTAAATGGTTTTTTTTAATTCTGAATGTCAGTTGCTATAAGTTCGTGTATTGCTTATAGATCAACGAAGTTTCTAAACCTCACCATTTTCAAAACTTCAGCACTATCTCTAACATATCGCTCCTTTTTAGCATTACATACGAGTTATCAGGTGAGAATGTCACTCATGACGTTTTTTGCGAGCATGGAAGTACTTTTTTGTTTCGACCTTTGAGAAACGCATTATTTATAAAATAATACTGTTAAGGGTTATTACACATATTCACTTTCGCTTCGAAAAATCGCTTTCTAATATCAACTAACACTATTGAATATGGTTTTAATGTCATTAAAGCGAAACCACATACAGGAATGTGTTTAAGAATGGATTATTCATAGGCAAGTCCGTAACTTATTATTAAAAGCTAATTTGCTAGATGCCTCTTTTGAAGATTCTAAATAGTATTCGTTAAATTGAATTACAAATAAATAAGTAATAGAACGTCTGTATTATATAAAAAAAAAATTATATAAAAAAAATAAAGGACACAGAATTCTTTTTATTTTTCCTTGGGTCACTGGTTTAATCTAACTTCGAAATGTATGCACACAAATTAAAACTATGTCTTTACTTCTCAGGCGACTTCTAACAGCTTAAATACCGGACGTAAGACAAAAATACATACGCATATATTCGTTCTGGTAACTTTATGAGATAGTAATGAATGTTTACCGTTCAGTAAAAACACGTAACAACGATGCCAATGCAAGCAATCAGCACATCTTCAAGTTAGATACTAACAATTTCGACATATCTGGACTTTTTGTGGTTGACACTTGTAACGGAAATGACCAATAAAGGAATCGTACATTTTGATTTGAATGCTAGTACGTGGCAGTAGAAAAAAGGGTGCATTCGATATACATACTTAATGTGCCAACCGGATAATATGATAAATTTTAAAAGATGTTGTAATTTTAACTTTGGAATTAAGCGTAAACATGAGAACAGGAAAAACTGATTGGTTAATACGTACGACCTCTGATTCGCCCGAAAGCGTAGGAGTGCCCACGTGTTTTCCCTTTCTAAGCAACCTTTACTATAATAAAAAAACAGTTGCTATCGAGCCGCACGCCTCAAATAACAGCAAAATGAGGACCGCAAAAGAAAGGACCACAGAATGATAATGGGCTTATCCCAGTATTTTGCACACGTGTTTCGGGTGTGTTATTGTTTCGAAAAAAGTTACAAACATTAGCTAATTTAAACTAAGATAAAACATCTAATCGTAGCGTTAAAAAAAGCGTAGAGATAATCTCTTCTATCAATTCTATCACGCATAGGTCACATAACTCTGATAGTAATTTTGGGTATTGTATAAAGTATAAGGACAATTGTCTTGGGCAGATCATGGTGATAGTACTTTTTCAAAATAATTTTGGCAGATTGATTAACCTGTCCTTCAAAGCTAGCAGCAGCAATAATCGTAAATGTTTATATACACCTCTCGAGAGTCCAGATCCATCCTAAGAATTTACCCGCTTTTTTCTGACGTGAGGCCTAATGGCTGTTTTACTTATGTTTAAAACTTGAGGTATTTAGTCAAGTTGAACATACTGTGTACCTATGCTCGAAAACTAAATTATATAGAACTTGCTGAGTCAACCATGAGTGTACGGACTAGAGTTAACAGCGTACAGAGAAGGGTTACAGTGTCGATAGCGCAGTCGGTACGCGGGGATCTTAACTCAGGCTGTTTTAACGTGCAGTGTGGGTCATCACACCCCGCAATAAAATGAATAACCGGGCTGC